AGGAGGAGGAGGAGGAGGAGGAGGAGGAGGGGGAAAGTGAGAAGGGGCGGGCCTTCTCAGAGGGCTCGGGAGCAAGCCCCCGGGCATTCTGAGAAAAGGGTTCTGAGCCTTCCCCGAAGACACAAAGAAAACTTCTCAAGAGGCGCGAGGACTTCTGAGAAGCCCCAGCGCCTTCTGAGAAGGCCTGCCCCCTCTCAATTCTCCCTCGGGCGCGCCGCCGACAGACATATGCTCGCGTCGTAAAAAAAATACGACGGACGGTTTTGGTAAGAACTTCCGGGGAGCCCGCATTAAAACAATCGAGACATCGCATCATGGAAGGCTCTTGGCCATTTTTGGCCTTCGGGTGTCCGCGCCGTCCAAGAGACGACCGGGTTAAAAATCCGCCCCGGCGAAGAGGTCCAGATGGGGTGCACGTTAAGAACCAATCACGGCTTTGGAGCTATGGGGGAGAGCCAGGAAGGGACTCGCAGGAGCTGGATCCAGGAGAAGGTATAAGCAGGATATCGACCACAGAATTGCTTTTACCTCAATCTTGTTTATTGCCGAATCTGCAAAAGATAGGCTCGTAGGTCTTCAAACAAAAAATAGTGGCGCTTCGGCTTATCGACGAAAACTCAACTTCGGGGTAAATCAATTACGTAATTACAGTCAATCCGTATAATCAAGACGCACGTAAGCATGCAAGGGTCTTGGAAGGCCATGTCGACACTTTGCGAGCGGGGCGTGGCCAGCGAAAGCGGCCAAGGAGGGGCTGCAGGGGAAGGATGCGAGGGTAATCTTGGAAGGTTGCTCATCCTTACTATGCGGGTTGACTGTATCCATACAGGCGGCGTGGACAAGGGGGGGGGGAGGGAGGGGGGAGGGCTTCTTAGAAGGTGCCAGCCCTACATCTATAGATCAGGCCCGCGCCCTCTATACGAAGCAGGGGTGCTTCTGAGAAGCCCTCCCCCCTCCGCCCACCCATCTCTGCGCATGGCCGAGCATATCAACTGCATCCGTACGAATCCACTGCGTGAGGCGGGTGGACCGCGACAGGGTGCGTGCCGTGCAGGCAAGGTGCGCCGGCTCTCTCGGCCACCTGCGTTCTGCCCCTGCGCCCCCAACCCCAAGATCTATCCCAGCCAGCGTCTCGTCGGAGGGATCGATTTCCGACGGCTCGGGGACGACGACGAACACGAAGACGACGACGACGACGACGACGACGACGACGACGACGACGTTGAGACGACGACGACGACGACGACGACGACGACAGCGACGACGGCGACGACGACGACGACGACGACCATCACCACGACCCCCAGACCCCTCCTGGAGTGCGTTCTGACCAGACGTTTAACGGGAATCCAGTCGTGGCGACGAGAACGACCAAGGAGTTCGGCCATGGGCACCTCAGGTGCAGCGCCAAGAACTACTACCTGGCGCATCTCACTACAGAACTGGCACGCATATTCCACTACGGAACAACAACACAAACTTGGAATGCTCGCGCGCCCACATCCGTCCAACCTTGGCGGGGCGCAAATGGGGGCGATGAGGGGGCAGCCTCCTCAGATGGCGGCTCTAAGAGGGCAGGAGGCCTTCGCAGAAGGGGCCGCCCGGCTTGTCACAAGCATGCCCAGCAGCGCGTTGGGTAGCACCACCCTCGACCAGGCAGCATTTACAAAAGCTTCTGCTTCAGCATTCACAGAAGCCTGAGCCCCTCCAAGGAGGCCCCTGCAGGCCCCTGCCCTCGAAGAGGCCCCCCGCGCCCTCTCGGGACGCTTCCACCCGCGCAGCACCCCCTGTGGCAGGCCACGAGCTCCCTCGACCACCCTGCCCTCCCCAGTTGACCGGATAGCGAAGTAAGGATCAGAGAAGAAACCGCCTCACAGGAGAGGCCCGCAGAATGTCCCTCGACGGACCGTGACGAGTGCCTCGAAGGAGGTATCAACACGATCACAGCACACAAAGAAGTAAGAGAGATAATGCATCTTGGAGGTTGCCGGGAGGCCTGAACAGGATGGGGCACCAGAAAATCGATCAAGAAGGGGTCCTCTCAATATCGTTCACCGGACCCCCTGGGGTCCATCCCGGACGCTTTTCACCCAGCATCGACTTCTGGCGATCCCAGGGATCCCGAACACGGCCGCCAGACGCCGCAAGCAATGGCTGGGCCACCTCAGCTCCCCAGCCGGCTCCGAAATGCATCCACCCACCGCCCCCCCCAACTCCTCCCACCTTCGACGACGACGGCGGCGGCGGCGGCGCGGCGGCGGCGGCGGCGGCGGCGGCGGCGGCGGCGGCGGCGGCGACGACGACGACGACGACGACGACGACGACGACGACGACGACGAACACGAAGACGACGACGACAACGGCGGCGGCGGCGGCGTCCGACGACGACGACGACGACGACGACGACGACGACGACGACGACGACGACGACGGGACGACGACGACGGAGACGACGACGACACAACGACGACGCAGGCGGCGGCGGCGGCGGCGGCGCGGCGCGGCGGCTGCGGCGGCGGCGGCGGCGGCGACGACGACGACTACGACGACGACGGCGGCGGTGGCGGCGGCGGCGGTGGCGACGACGACGACGACCACGACGACGACGACGACGACGACGACGACGACGACGACGACGACGACGACGACGACGACGACGACGGAGGCGGCGACGACGACGCAGCGGCGGCGGCGGCGGCGGCGGCGACGGCGGCGGCGGCGGCGACGGCGGCGGCGGCGACGACGACGACGACGACGACGACGACGCTTGCGAGTCTTCTGCGGGAGCACGCGAGTCCTGCGAGGCGATCCCCCCCGCGAGGACCCCTCCTGTGCACGTTGTGCGTCTGTCAGGACCACTTTGGAGAACGCTGTCCCCAAGGTCGACGGCTGCGCAAAAGAAGCTGGCTGGCGGCGACACATCGAGCGCTCTCGTTCCAACGCCAACCACAGAGCCGGCCGAGGGAGCACAGGTGGGAGATCTCTTCCTTCTTGGCCTGCATGCAGGCCGCGCGGCTGGCCGCATTTGCCTCCTTCGCAAACGGCCACGCTCCGTCGGCCAGGGCGTCAACAGCGCGGGCGCTGCCAGCACCAGCCGTCTCTTCGCGAGGGGCCGCCGCATCAGCAGCCGCCGCGCCTCGCGCCAACTCGTCTGCTCAAGCGTCGTCGACGAGGTCGGCGGCCGCGCCAGCTTCGGCCCCGCCAGGCAACGCGCCATCAGGGAAGATGGCGCTACCCCAGCTGACATGTCGCGCGAGCTCCCGCTGAAGACGCCCCACGAAAACGGGCCCGCCGAATTCCCGGACGGGTTCGTCGAAAAGCGCCGGTAAACCTGAGTTCCGTCGAGCTCGAATCGCACGCGACGACGGCACGGCGCGCTCCGCGGCCCGGGCCCTCTCCTCCCGCTTACGGCGCGCGGAGGTCCGAAAACCTTCGGGGAGGGGAAGGGGGGGAGAGAGAGAGAGAGAGAGACAGAGAGAGAAATCGCCCTCCTGCTCCTCCTCCTCCTCCTCCTCCTCCTCCTCCTCCTCCTCCGCCTCCTCCTCCTCCTCCTCCTCCCTCCTCCTCCTCCTCCTCCTCCTCCTCCTCCTCCTCCTCCTCCGCCTCCTCCTCCGCCTCCCCTCCTCCGCCACCTCCTCCTCCTCCTCCTCCTCCTCCTCCTCCCCTCCTCCTCCTCCTCCTCCTCCTCCTCCTCCTCCTCCTCCTCCTCCTCCCCTCCTCCTCCTCCTCCTCCTCCCTCCCCTCCTCCTCCTCCTCCTCCTCCTCCTCCTCCTCCTCCTCCCTCCTCCTCCTCCTCCTCCTCCTCTCCTCCTCCTCCTCCTCCTCCTCTCCTCTCCTGCTCCTCCTGCTCCTCCTGCTCCTCCTCCTCCACCTCCTCCTCCTCCCCCTCCTCCTCCTCCTCCTCCTCCTCCTCCTCCTCCTCCTCCTCCTCCTCCCTCCTCCTCCTCCTCCTCCTCCTCCTCCTCCTCCCTCCTCCTCCTCTCCTCCTCCTCCTCCTCCTCCTCCTCCTCCCTCCTCCTCCTCCTCCTCCTCCTCCTCCTCCTCCTCCTCCTCCTCCTCCTCCTCCTCCTCCTCCTCCTCCTCCTCCTCCTCCTCCTCCTCCTCCTCCTCCTCCTCCTCCTCCTCCTCCTCCTCCTCCTCCTCCTCCTCCTCCTCCTCCTCCTCCTCCTCCTCCTCCTCCCCTCTGTCTCGAAGCGCGACGACGCCTCGGGAGACGCCAACGCGGCACGGTGCGCACAGATCGCCAGCGGCCGCGGAGGAGGGCGGCTGCGCGGCCCGGGCCGTCGGGGCGCGCCGTGCGGGGGCGCGGGGGCGCCCCCGAGGGGTGGCCTCGGCCCACCAAGACGGCCCCGCGGTGGACGGACGTGCGGTGGCGCGGCAAGGTTCAAGGGGCCGCCTCCCACGCCATCGAGTCTTACGATTCCCCGGGCGGCCCGAGCCGCAGGCGCGCGCGCCGCGAGCGCGGGGCGCGCGCGCGCGCGCCGCGAGCGCGGGGCGAAGCCAGCAAGCATGCGCCTGCAGCGCGGCGAGCGCCCAGGCGCGCCGCGACCTGCCCCTGCGCACGATCCCCGCGGCGCGCCTGCGTGCGATCTTTTTGGACAGTCACACTCACTGCCACCACAAAAGTCAGCGGGGGGCCAGACCTGGACCTGACCAGACCTGGGCCCCCCAACCGTGCTGCGGAAGCAGACAAGGTCGGAGCAGACGAGAAGGCGATCAACGGGAACCGCGGCGCGGCCAAGTGAGCCCCCAGGCGAGACGCCTCGGGGAGACCGCAGCGCCCAGATGTCGGCGGCGCGACGCGACGGCGGTGGCGTTGCCGTTCGTGGCGAACGTCGGCCGCAGCGGTCGGCCCCGCTCCGCCCGCCTCTTGGAGGAAGACCGAGGATCGAGGAGGATCGAAGAAGATCGAGGAGGATCGACGAGGATCGGGGAGGATCGAGGATCGAAGATCGAGGCGACGGCGGCGCTGCCCTCGCGGGGGCGGCGGGGCGGGTCGCCGTCGGTCGCCAGGGTCAGCCGGCAGCCGCCCGCGAACAGCACCGAATCGCTGGGCACCGCCTGCCACCGCACCGCGCGCGCCTTGCTGCCCTCGGCCTTGGCGTCCTCCTCGGCCTCTGGCGAGGGGGTGGGGGGGAGCGTTAGGGGTCGAGGTTTGAGGTTTTCGAGGCTCGAGGTTTGAAGTTTTCGGCCGTTTTCGCTGGTTCTCGGCGATTTTCCAGCATCGGGGTGCCGTCGGCGAACAAGGGGCGATCGGGGGCGGATGCACCCCCCGCCATGAGCCAAATGATCTCCCCCCCAAAAGTGCCCGTGAAGAGGGGGAGGAAAGCCTCGCTGGCGCGCGGAGCGCGCCAGGGGCGGCGCCAGAGGTGCCGCCAGGGGGGGGGGGGGGCCAGCGCTGATCCAAGAAATCCGCGCGGAACTCCGAAAGCATATATTTTGGCGGCGCGCACAAGGGGTTAGGGGGAGGGGGGAAGGCTTCTTAAAAGCAGGCTGTTTCGTAGAAGGGCCCGGCCTTACATCTACAAAGAAGGCCCGCCGCTTCTGAGAAGCAGGGGTACTTCTAAGAAGCCGTCCCCCCTCCACCTACCCTCTATGCGCGTGGCCGAATGTCCATGATGTCTTTTCTGCTCTTCGAGGGGGAGGGGGAGGGAGGGGAGACGACGACGACGACGACGACGACGACGACGACGACGACGACGACGACGACGACGACGACGACGACGACGACGACGACGACGACGACGACGACGGCGGCGGCGGCGGCGGCGGCGCGGCGCGGCGCGGCGCGGCGGCGGCGGCGGCGGGAGGAGGAGGTGGCGGCGGCGGCGGGAGGAGGAGGGGAGGAAGGGGGAGGAAGGGGGAGGAGGGGGAGGCAGGGGGAGGCAGGGGGAGGCAGGGGCCTGCGGCGAGGCGCCCACAGGGGCGGAACAGCGGACGGGGCCCGCGGGCGGCTCCGGGAGCGCACGCGGGCGGGCCAGCGGACGGCCTGCTGGACGAGGTCCACGAGGCGAGGCCAGGACGAGGACAAAGTCGGGTGAGGATCAAGCGACCCAGACATGATCGCGTCGTCAGAAAATCAGGACGGGAGGTTTTTGGGCCAATTTCGGCCTCGGGGGGCCCTCGCCGGGCCTCGGGACCGGCAAAAAACGACTCAGGATGAAAAATCGGTCCTGGGAAAAGGGTCGGGACTTCTGGGGACGCCGTCCAGAAAAAATCCAGACGTCGCATGTCTGTGGCGAATCTCTGGGATCCAGCGCCACTGGAACATGTCTTGGGCGCCGCGAACTTCTCAGAGCGTGCTAGGACGCTCTGAGAGAGCTAAACAGCGCTCTGACACGGCTCTATCCTCGTCCTGGCCCCGTCCGAGTCCGAGCAGATGGGGCTGGAGGATTGCACCACGTTTCCGATGCATCGCCGCTGCGCCGGGTCGGCGCAGAGGAGAGCGGGCTCCACATCGAGCCGCCACTGATGGGCCTGTTTTCCACCACCACCACCACCACCACCACCATAAGTTAGAGGGGGGAAGGAGGAGGAGGAGGAGGAGGATGAGGAGGAGGAGGAGGAGGAGGAGGACCCCCTCCCCCTCCAACTTCTGGTGGTGGTGGTGGAGAAAACGTGCCCATCGGCCACTCGGCGCGCCGCGCGCGGCGATGCAGGGGCGGCGCGGCGCGCGGCCGCGGCCCCCGCCGCTCCGACCCCGGCCCAGGGGGGCAGGGGCCAGCTGCCCTCGGGGGCCTCGCCGCCCCCCTCGGCCTTCGGGGCGGCGCGGGCCCCCGGCCCTCGGCCGGGGCCGCCCCGCGCCGCGAGGAGGGAGCCGACTGTGCGACGGGCGGCCCCTCGCCCCGAAGACACACGAAGAGCAGGGCCGCCCGCAGCGGGTTTCGATCGGCAGCGCTCCGTCGCTGGCTTGCCGGCTGGGGGCCACGCCTGCGTCGCAGAGCGGGGGGGGGGCTGGGAGGGGGCTCGCCGCCGCTCCTCGTCGCACGCTGCCCCGATGTGTGGCCTCCGCGATCGCCGCGGCGACCTGCAAAGCCGAGCCGGGGGTTTTGGCTTGGGGCCGGATCTCTCGCAACGAAGACTCGCGGCGGAGCCGAGGAAGAAAAAGTCCGCACAAGCATCCAACTCTCGGAGCTCCCCGCGGATCTCTTGGATCGGCTCTGAGCCCCCCCCCCGGCGCGCGGAGCGCACCAGAGAAGCGGCGCAGGAGGCGCCGCCAGGGAGAGCCCATGACTGAGCCAGAGTGAAGCGGATCAGGCGGAATCCGCCGACCCTGTCGGCGTGTGTGAGGGGCTTTTCCGTTCGAGCCGTCATCTCCGTCATTCTTTGTACTCGTCGTCTCTGTCCTTCCCTTCCCCTGGGAGACCTCTTCCCCTGGGCTCCAGCCGAGCCGACCTTGAGCAACCTCGTAATTGAGTCGAAGGGAAGCCCCTTCCCTTTGATCCCTCCCCCGCCGGGAGGGGGGGGGGGTAGCGACCCCCCCCCGGGGTCAGATACGACGCCCCCCCCTGGGACTCCTCTTCCCCTGGGCTCCAGCCAAGCCGACCTTGAGCAACCCCTGGGCTCCAGCCAAGCCGACCTTGAGCAACCTCGTAATTGAGTCGAAGGGAAGCCCCTTCCCTTTGATCCCTCCCCCGCCGGGAGGGGGGGGGGGGTGCGACCCCCCCCCCGGGTCAGATACGACGCCCCCCCCTGGGACTCCTCTTCCCCTGGGCTCCAGCCAAGCCGACCTTGAGCAACCTCGTAATTGAGTCGAAGGGAAGCCCCTTCCCTTTGATCCCTCCCCCGCCGGGAGGGGGGGGGGGGTGTCGACCCCCCCCCCGGGTCAGATACGACGCCCCCCCCTGGGACTCCTCTTCCCCTGGGCTCCAGCCAAGCCGACCTTGAGCAACCTCGTAATTGAGTCGAAGGGAAGCCCCTTCCCTTTGATCCCTCCCCCGCCGGGAGGGGGGGGGGGGTAGCGACCCCCCCCCCGGGTCAGATACGACGCCCCCCCCTGGGACTCCTCTTCCCCTGGGCTCCAGCCAAGCCGACCTTGAGCAACCTCGTAATTGAGTCGAAGGGAAGCCCCTTCCCTTTGATCCCTCCCCCGCCGGGAGGGGGGGGGGGGTCGACCCCCCCCCCGGGTCAGACGACCCCCCCCCCTGGGACTCTTCCCCTGGGCTCCAGCCAAGCCGACCTTGAGCAACCTCGTAATTGAGTCGAAGGGAAGCCCCTTCCCTTTGATCCCTCCCCCGCCGGGAGGGGGGGGGGGTAGCGACCCCCCCCCCGGGTCAGATACGACGCCCCCCCCTGGGACTCCTCTTCCCCTGGGCTCCAGCCAAGCCGACCTTGAGCAACCTCGTAATCTCTTGCTGCGCATTGCGAACAGGGTCGGCGGCACCGGCCGTCAGGCCTTCGCAATAGCCAAATTACGCGGGCCTGTGAAAGGGTAGTCCGCGTCTCGACCACGGACACAGTCGGACCTGGGACCGAAGGACATCCTCCAAGAGCATGAGACCCTTCGCCGGCCAAACGGAAGAACATTCGAGAGTGCCCAGAACGTGCAAGAACATCCAACAGACACGAAGAACATTAGCGTACCCCCCCCGAAACGACCTCGATCTGAGACCTCGGTCCCTCACGGCGGGGGGGATCTTCGGGGGCGTCCGTAAAAGGGGCAGTCCACGAGGAGCGTTCGCAGATCATGGCCCGAGGCATGTGCGCCGACGGACGCATTGAAATGAGGAGAGGGGCCCCAAAACTACCTCCGGAGGCCCCCGAGAGCGCTCCAAAGAGACCCCAAGAAGCATCCCTGAGGACTCTGGCCCACGTCAGCATCGTCGTCGTCGCCGCCGCCGCCCACGTCAGCATCGTCGTCGTCGCCGCCGCCTCCGTTGTCGCCGTCGTCGTCGTCGTCGTCTCCCTTCAGGGTCGGCGGCAGCGGCCGTAAGGTCTTCGCAAGAAGAAGAGGGGCCATGACATCTGGGGAGATATCATGGCCCCGGCCATGATGCCTACACCCCCCGCCTCAGTCATCACCCCCGTCTGGGCCGCCCCTGAGGTCTGTCGCCACTTCCGCGGCCCGCAGGGGCCTTTGCTGGGGCCCGGGGGCCAGGGGGCCGGCAGAGAGAGAGAGCGGCTCGGGGCGAAAAGGCAGCCCTGTGGAAAGGGGCCAGACCTCCGTGGTCCACGTTGCGAGAGGTCAGGGCGTTGGAGTTCTGGCAGGGCTGGTAAGCATCGAATCGCGAAATCGGATGCGGTCGGAACATGTTTCGAATCACCGTCGGATCGGATCGGATCGGAACGGCGTGGCTTTTCTGCACCTGGGTCCCCAAGAGGTGCCGGCCCCTTCCCAAAGACTGGCGATCCGCCCTGAATTGCTGTTCGACGGCCCTGGCGCCCGGCAAAGGGCCCCCGGAGGCCAGATACGGAGATATGTGTGCACGTATTTATATATCTATATATATATATATATACATACATATATATATGTATATATATATATGTATAAATAGGTATGTATACATATGAGTACCTGAGTATATATATATATGTATATATATGTGAAAGGCATGAGGTACGTGTGAACGTATATGTATGCATACAAACGTATGTGTATACATAGACACACATAGACATATATGTACATATAGATACTCGTAGTAAACACATCATGAATACTGTTCACGCTGAAAACGGAAGGCGCTGGATCCCCGCTTGAGGAGTCGTGCGATCAGGGGCGTCGGCAGGGGGAGGCCGGCCCAGGGGGCCGACAGGCCTCGCCAGCCCCCACATCGCCCGCTCTCGTCGCCCCTCGGGGCCTGGGTACCCCGCTCCTCCCAAGGAGCGTGCAGCTTCTCGGCGGCGAGCGAGGGGGGGAGGAGGAGGAGGAGGAGGAGGAGGAGGAGGAGGAGGAGGAGGAGGAGGAGGAGGAGGAGGAGGAGGAAGAGGAGGAGGAGGAGGAGGGAGGAGGAGGAGGAGGAGGAGGAGGAGGAAGAGGAGGAGGAGGAGGAGGAGGAGGGAGAGGAGGAGAATGAGGAGGAGAGTGAGGAGGAGCAGGAGGAGAGGCAGGAGGAGGAGAGAAGGAGAAGGCCTTCTCAGAAGGCGGGGCGGGTTCCTCAGAAGCACTCGCGCCTTCCGAGAAGTCTTCTGCGCCTTCGGGGAAGGCGTAGAAAACTTCTCAGGAGGCCGGGGGGCTTCCGAGCCTTCTGAGAGAAGGCCCGCCCCTTCTCGCCTTCTCCCCCCCCGGGTTCGCCGCCCCTCCACCGGCGATGCATCGCCGACTCTGGGTCAAGCTTTCTGCCCCCCTGCGCCGGCCCTCCTCTCGACCCCCCTCACGTGCTCTCTTCCTCGGCAGCTCCCAGACCTGGGTCGGCGGAGGATCTCGAAGGAGGTTGGCTGACCCACAGACCCCCAACGTCGCCTCTTTGTTAGAACGGGCACCCCCAGAGGTCTGAGCCCATTCTCCGGGAACGGCTTGTCGTCCCAGGTCGTGTTCCAACGGCCTGAAGTGGCAAAGACCTCCCGTCTTGATCGTTTCGTCCGAGGTCGATGGCTGAGGGTCCTGGGGCCTGGCGAGGGCCCCCAGAGGCGAAACTGGCCAAAACCCTTCCTCACGACGGCGCCAGGGGGAGGGGGAGGAGGAGGGGGAGGGGGGAGGCGGAGGAGGAGGGGGAGGGGGAGAGGGAGGGGGAGGAGAAGGAGGGAGGCGAAACTGGCAAAAGCCTTCCCTACGACGGCGCCCAGGGGGTCTGGGCATTGCGCTGGCCCCCGCTGCGCGGGCCCCGACCGGGGCCCCTCCCGCGGCCGCTCGGGAGGATCCCCGGGAAGCGCCACCAAAGACCTCCCAGCTGGGGTCGGAGAAGCGCACCGCACGGCAGAGGCATCGCCGACGCATCGGCGCTGCACCTGCGACGTGGGCGACGCATCGGCGCCGTCGGCGTGGAGAAAATCAGGCTCCACATCGAGCCGCAGGAGGAGGAGGAGGAAGAGGAGGAGAAGGAGAAGGAGGAGGAGGAGGAGGAAGAGGAGCGCGATCCTCCGGCCCCATCTGCTCAGACGCCATCTGGGAGGCCTGGAGCGCACCTGATGGAGAAAACGCCACAGGCCCCGAAAGCCCAAGGAAGGCTTCACTTTCGACCCCCGAGACTCCCAGATCTCCAACGACATGATCTTTCCAGTCTGGACGACCTTGCTCCTGGGTGTCGGCCTCTGGGGGTCGCTGGCCGGGGACAATCAAACATGGATCCGGGGCGAAAACTGGCCCTTGGGAAGGATTGGGGACCGTTGGGGTCGCGCATTGACAACAAAGAGATGTCGTCGGACGTCCAGGGAGAGAGCAGGTGCACAAAAGACACCCCAGGAAGCATCCGCACGCGCCGAGGAGGCGCGTGCCTGAGGGGCAGGCATGGGGGAGGGGGGGGGCTGGCCCAGGGGGCGGCAGATCGCCCGCATCGCCAACAGATCGGCGATGGGCCCTCGACAGCAAACTCGAACCCTCCTGGGCGGGGTGGGGCTATCGGGACCTCCTCGGCGAAAAATGGGCGACCGGGGGCCGATGCCCCATCCCGATCCTGTCCCACTCATAACGTTGCCCCAAAGCCCTCCTCCAGCCCTACCTCCGACGATTCCATTTGTTTCGCAACACGGGCCTCCGTAAGGTCTCGACCCCTTTCCCCGATCCGGCTTTTTGTCCCACGCCGTTTTCTTATGGTCCTGGGGCACAGAGGGCCCCCAGAGGCCGGAGATTGCCATACACCCTCCGTCGTGATTTTGTCACGGCTCGAAGGCACAACCTCCGAACGCGCCGATGAGGCGTGTGCCCTCGGACGTGAACTAACCCGGCTCAGCGCAAACCTGGCCCAGTCCAATCAGGAAAAGTGCGCTGCGATGTTTTGGGAAGGCTTCCCAAAGACCGGGCCCAGCGAATATGTAGGGCCATCTCCAGGGCCGCGAGCGGCTCCTGCAGGATCCTGCAGGATCTGGCGCTCAGGCCGAGCCCCGTTTGCGCTAACTGCCGGTTCCACCATGCATGCAGGCTGCGCCGAGTGCTGCTCCAGACTGGGGGTTTTCAGAACAGCACCCTGGCACGGAGCTCGGCGCATCACCAGGTGCGCGCGTCGCTTGCAAAACAAAAAGCATTGGTCTTCTCTTGGATTGATGTCCGCGGGGTAACACGGAAGCCTATAGGTGCGGGTTGCGCGACGAGGAGGAGGAGGAGGAGGAGGAGGAGGCGGAGGAGGAGGAGGAGGCGGAGGAGGAGGAGGAGGAGGAGGAGGAGTTCTGACGAGGAGGAAGAGGAGGAGGAGGAGGCGGAGGAGGAGAAGGAGGAGGAGGAGGAGGCGGAGGAGGAGGAGGAGTTCTGACCCAAATCGCGCCCCGCCCGCTCGCGGGCCAACCGCCCTTGGCCTGACCGGGCCTCTGCCTCGGCCTGCCCCGGCCCCGGCGTCGTGGCCTTGTCATGGCCCGCGCCCCGGGAAATCCGGACCCTCGCCGGGGACCGGCCTCTCTTGGCGGCGCGCACGAGGGGGCAAGGAGGAGGGGGGGGGAAGGCATCTCAGGAGCAGGAGTGCTCCTTATAGAAGGCGCTGGCCCTGCCTCTATAGACACGCCCGCGCCTTCTAAGCAGCGGGGGGGCTTCTTAGGAGCCTTCAGCCCTCCCCCTAACCCCCCTCTGCGCGTGTCCCAGAGCCGTATTTGCATGGTCCCAGAGCCAGGTGAGGGCGCCCGGTCCGAAAACTGCCAAAAACCGTCCGTCATCATCGCTTGAACGCTCCAGGGGGTCTTGGTGCCGCTACCTGCCTGCTGACTCTCCCGAGATCTGACGTTGCAAGAAAACTGCAACATCGCAAAAAAAAAAAAAAAAACGACAGCAAACCTAGAACCCATCTTTCTGCACCAATTTCGAACCGGATCGATCTGTGAGAGTCCCGGGGCCCAAAACTGGGCCAAAACATCCATTGCAAAAAACATGCAACGCCCCGATCTGAGGGTCTTGCTTTTTCTCTCTCTCTCTCTCTCTCTCTCTCTCTGGGCAGCCCCCGAGAGGCTGTTTTCTTTCCTTAGACCCAGGCAAGTTCACTTGCATGGCATTCCCCCCCCTCCGCCGCCTTTTCCAACAGCCAAGGGGCCGAACAGGTGTGCAAGGAAGTCCCTTCTTGCGTGAAGTCCAGAGTTGCGCCCCCACCCTCAATGCAAGCAAACCTGCCACAATGTAGAGAAGAGCTCGGGGCCGCCCTCGGCTACGCGTTCGAGTGACCCTGAGCACGAGGGACAGTTGGTGCGCGGCTTGCCGGCCGTTGCGTGCAGTGCGGCAGTGGTGGCCTTCGAGCTTCGGCTTGGCCCCGCAACGCCCCCAGAAAGCCGCGCACCCACGTCCACTCCTGCGAAGGGTCACTCTTACGTGTGAGAGGGGCTCGGGGGTCTGAACTGGCTGGGACCCCAGAAAATCTGTCAGGAGGGGGGAATGATGGCAAATCAGCTCAAACTCTGTCCCTGGATCCCTCCCGCGGTCCATCTGGTGCAATTTTTCTCCCTCGATCCGTTTCTGACGGCCCCAGCCGCCAGAGGCCGCAAAGAGCAAAAATTCTGCACGAATCCAGGAACCTCGAACCTGCCCGCCCTTCCTGCTGGCCAGAACCAGTGCTGGGCCACCTCAGATCCCCAGGCGGCTCCAACTGACGTGCAGCCGACCTGAGGGGCAACAATTGGGAGGGACTGGCATAGTGAGGAAACCTCAACCTGGAATCGGCAATACATCGCCAATAGATCGGCGATATGCCCTCAATAGCACATCCCCACGTTCCTGGGCGGGGTGGGGCTACCGGGCCCCCACTGGCGATGAATGAACGATAGTCGATGCATCCCCCCCTGTGTCTACCCACCCTATCGTCAACGGCGGGTAAATCCACACGGAGTAAGTCCAGAGGTGGTGCTCGGCCTCCGTGTGGACTTACTCCGCCTGGACTCCACCTCTCCTCATGGGATCAGGTCGAGCGTGTACTCCTACAGGTGAAGCTGGAAGGTCGTCCCCAGGCTATCGCTAACTATGTTTGAAGATTCCTCCTGTAGAGGGACAGGCCCGACCTCGTGCTGGAGGAGTCTGCGCCCGCACGGGGCGGGTCCCTGCGGAGAGCTCGCGGTGTCCGTGTGGAGCTGCTTGCTCCCCCTGGACCGGGCCCCCCCTCGGCTATACGCAAGAGTGACCCTGGGTAAGAGTGACCTTTGGTGCGCGGCTCTTTGGGAGCCGCGGGGGGACCAAGCCTGGGCGCGAAAGCAGCTGCTTCTGCTCCGTTGCTGGCCACCTGGGAACCCATCTGTGCCCGCACCAGAGGTCACTCCGGCGAAAGGTCACTCTTACGTCACTGTCGACCTCCTCACACCGCTGCCCGCGACGACCGCCCCCGGCCCGCCCGCCCCGCCCCTCCGCCCCGCCGGGCCCCGCCTCCGCCGCCGGGGCGGCGGCCTCCCTCAGCACGAGCGACGGCGGGGCGCCTCGTGCGCCGCTCGCGCGGAGGGGCGGCAGGTCTGGCGGGTGGCTGCGAGCGCCGCCCCGGGCCCTCAAAGGCCTCCCCGCCCGGGGGGCCCTCGAGGGCCCCCCCTAAGAGGGCCCCTGTTCTGCCGCTCCCGACGAGCCCCCTCTTCATCGCCACCCCCCCCCCCCACTGACGCGACGCCCACGGCGGCACCGCGCGTGCAGTGCCCGGGGTGGCGGTCCGTTCGGCGACTCCGACACTGACCTCATCGCTCTGCAACAGTTCAACAGTTCAACAGTTCAACAGTTCAACAGTTCAACAGTTCAACAACAACAACAACAACAACAACAACAACAACAACAACAACAACAACAACAACAACAACAACAACAACAACAACAACAACAACCAACAACAACAACAACAACAACAACAACAATCACTTTACCCGAACGCTCAGTGTTCTCACCAGTGCCAGGGTTTTCATGCGACGCCAGCCAATACCCCCACTTTGTGGGGGGGCAGTGCAAGCTCTACCAAATATCCACACGACTCTTCGCCACCACCCACACCCAGCTTCCCGCCCTATGACGTTCGGACACTTCACTTCGTGGCCTGCGGACGACCGTGGCTACTACACTGGCGTGGAGTACACACCCACAGAAGTTGTTAAGCCTACGTTCGTCCAGTAGTTGTTAACCTTCAGTTGATCTGTTGCATATGATGCATATGGTACATGATACACATGGTTTTTGGAGATTTCGGCGTGCGCGCGCGAAGAAAAAACGAATGTGTCCCGCATGGTATTATTTGACAGGGATGATGGCCCTGGCAGGTGCGCAACCGTTGTCGCAGAAGTTCGAAAAAGTTGCTCGCAAAAGCCCGTTTGACAGAAATGTTTAAAAAGTGTTGGGTTTCCTACGAATCCGCAAGAGCGCGCGGGATGAGATTTTGACATTTTTTTGTTGAAAAACCATTGGTTTTTTGATGTTTTTATGTTAAAATCGCTCCGAACACTAAGCTTTTGGAAGGATTTCGTCTTGCGCGCGCGAATGTCCACTTTACCTTATTTTTTGCAAGGGATTCTTGAAATTTGATTATATTAGAACAAGAAATGTCATTTTATAGTGTTTTTTGCAAGGGAAAGCGGATTACAACAAAACAACCGGATCTTGATCACATCGAATTACCTGAGGCTTCCTCACGAAAATGATGAAAATGTAGCTGCGGCCTAGGCGGCGCAGGGGGGGCGCGCACCAGGGGCCCCAACAATAATTATTCTTTAGAATTAATAATGTTCAACAACAACAACAACAACAACAACAACAACAACAACAACAACAACAACAACAACAACAACAACAACAACAACAACAACAATAGCAGCAGCAACAACAACAACACAAACAAACTGGATTTGTCTCGCCATGGTCGGCCTCTGGGGGGCCCTCGCCGGGCCCCAGGACCGTCGAAAGTCGACTCAAAACGAAAAACTTGCCCCTGGGAATGGGTCGGGTCCGGCGTATTGAAAGAATCAGGACATCGCATGTCTGGGGGCGGGTGTGGTGAGCAACCCGTACCCAGGAGGGGCGGGCGAGGACCTCCCCAAAGATCTCCGCCGCGCCCCGACGAGGGCTCACCAAACCTTAGGCGCAACGTGGGCGACCCCCTCAGCCCCCGCGACCCCTTCCCCGGGACGGGTTTTCTGACGGCCCCGAGGCCCGGCAGTGGCCCCCAGGGGACGAAAATAGAGCAAAAATGTCCCGTCGTGATTTCTCGACAGCGCGACCTGCGCCAGTGGGACCTTCGGTGGAGCTCCCCGTGGGGCCACGAAACGTGTGAGGGGTGTGCCAACAGAAGGTGCGGGACCACAGGCGAATTGCGCCATTGTGACCTTCGGTGGAGCTCCCTCTGGGGCCACGGCACGCCTGAGGGGCGCGCCGAAACCGGTGCGGAACCGCACGCGAACTGCGCCATCGCGATCCCCAGAGGAGGAGGAGGAGGAGGAGGAGGAGGAGGAGGAGGAGGAGGAGGAGGAGGAGGAGGAGGAGGCGGCGCGCCAATACTTTCAACCCTGTCCTGGCGAGCCGCCCGAGTTTGACTCCCTGGAGCGTCCGTTTTTGGCAGCTGCCCGAGGGGTGGCCCCGCTGGGTCGCCACAGGGAGCCTCGAGCAACCCTCGCCTGCCACCACGAGCGGCCGCCCCCTCCCTGCGGGAACCCAGATCTCCGACCCAGCAAGAACAACAAACAACATTATCAACAACAACAACAACAACAACAACAACAACAACAACAACAACAACAACAACAACAACAACAACAACAACAACAACAACAACAACAACAACAACAACAACAGTAATCACAATAACAACGACAACAATGACCATCACGATAACAACTACTACTACTACTACTACAAATACAAAAACAAATACAAATAAAACTACAACTGTAAATACAACTACAACAACTACTACTGATAGATACGACTACGACTACTACGTAAACAATACCAACAACAATAACAACAACAATAACAACAACAATAAAAACAACAACAACAACAACAACAACAACAACAACAACAACAACAACAACAACAACAACAACAACAACAACACAACCACAACCACAACCACAACAACAACAACAACAACGATAACAACAACGACAAGAACAACAACAGCAACAACAATAACAACATCAAACCAAACAATAAACAACAACATCAACAACAACAACAACAACAACAACAACAACAACAACAACAACAAAACTCACACCACACCACCATCAACAACAAAATACACTACCACAGCAACGACAACAACAACACTAACCACAGCAAGAACAACAACAAACAAACAAACAAACAAACAAACAAACAAACACACAAATAAACAAACACAAGACAAAAAAAAAAAAAAAAAAAAAAACAAAAAAAAAAATATGGGCCTGGCGAAGGACCCATCCATATGCAATTGTTAGTACCGTCGTTATATGCACCGCATTCGGGTGAGCTCCCTATAGGGCCACGAAACATGTGAGGGGTGTGCCAAAATTTGTCGGGTGGGCGCATGCGAAAGCAGCCACTGGGACCGTCGGTGGAATTCCCTACGGGACCACGAAACGCGTAAGGGGTGTGACGAAATGGTTGCGGCGGGCGCATGCGAACGCAGCCACAAGGCCGTCGGTGGAGCTCCATGTGGGGCCTCGAAGCGCCTGAGTGGAGTGCCGGAATGAGTGTGGGTGACGCATGAGATGCGGGCGGTGGCACTGGCACCTTCGGTGAAGCTCCCTATTGAGCAACGAAACGTGTGAGGGGTGTGCCAGAATGAGTGTGGGTGACGCGTGTGGGCGGTGGCACTGGCGCCTTCGGTGGAGCCCCCCATGGGGCCACGAAAGGTGTGAGCGGTGTGCCAGAATGAGTGTGGGTGACGCGTGTGGGCGGTAGCAGTAGGGGGCCTTCGGTGGAGCCCCCTATGGGGTCACGAAACATGTTAGCGCTGTGCCGAAAGGGTGTGAGTGACGCATGCGATGCGGGAGGTGGCACTGGGGCCTTCGGTGGAGCCCTCTATGGGGCCACGAAACGTGTGAGGGGTGTGCCGAAATGGGCGTGGGTGACGCATGCGGGCGGTGGCACTGGGGCCTTCGGTGGAGCTCCCTATGGGGACGAAACGCTGTACTGGGTGGGCGAAACGCAGGGAGGAAGGAGGAGGGGGAGGAGGGGGAGGAGGAGGAGGGAGGAAGGAGGAGGAGGAGGAGGAGGAGTGAGTGACGCGGGGCGCTGTCTCTTCAAAACGAGGACCCAACACCACAGATTGGTTGGGGGAAGAAAACGCCCCCCAAAAAAAAATTAGCCTGGCGAAGAACCCAACCATATGCAGTTGTCAGTACCGCAGCTGCGGGTTTCATCTTCAGTGGAACTCCCCATAGGACCACGGAACGTGTGAGGGGTGTGCCGAGATGGGTGCCACTGGGGCATTCGGTGAAGCTCCCTATGGGGACATGAAACAAGCGCGGGGCGTGCCGAAATGGGTGGCGGAAACGCATGTGAGGGCCGCCGCTGGGGCCTCCAGTGGAGCTCCCTTTGGGTCCCCGAAACATGATGCTGCTGCGGGGGGGGTGCCGGGATGGGTGGCGGAGACGCATGTAAGCGCCGCTACTGGGGCCTTCGGTGGAGCTCCCTATGGGGCCACGAAGCGCGTGAGGGGTGTACTGGGATGTGTGGCGGGGACGCATGTGGGCGCCGCCACTGGGGCCTTCGGTGCAGCTCCCTATGGGGCCACGAAACGTGTGAAGGGTGTGCCGAATTGGGTGCGGGTGGTGACGCATGCGGGCGGTGCCAGTGGGGCCTTCGGTGGAGCTCCCTATGGGGCCACGAAACCTGTTGTTGTGAGGGGCGAGCCGGGATGGGTGGCGGGGACGCGTGTGAGTGCGGCCGCTGGGGCTTTCGGTGGAGCTCCCTATGGGGCCACGGAACGTGTGAGGGGTGTGCCGAATTGGGTGGGTGTGGGTGACGCATGTGAGCGCCGCCACTGGGGCCTCCGGTGGATGATGGGGCCACGAAACCTGTGACGGATGTGCCGAAATGGGTGTGCGGGACGCATGCGCATGTGAGCGCCGCCACTGGGGCCTTCGGCGGAGCTCCTATGGGGCCACGAAACGTGTGAGGGGTGTGCCGAATTGGGTGTGGGTGACGCATGCGGGCGGCAGCACTGGGACCTTCGGTGGAGCTCCCTATGGGGCCACGAAACGTGTGAGGGGTGTGCCGAATTGGGTGTGGGTGACGCATGCGGGCGATAGCACTGGGGCCTTCGGCGGAGCTCCTATGGGGCCACGAAACGTGTGAGGGGTGTGCCGAATTGGGTGTGGGTGACGCATGCGGGCGGCAGCACTGGGGCCTTCGGCGGAGCTCCTATGCGGCCACGAAACGTGTGAGAGGTGCCGAATTGTGCGTGACGCATGGGTTCGGCAGCGCATGCTGGGGCCTTCGGCGGAGCTCCCTATGGGGCCACGAAACGTGTGAGGGGTGTGCCGAATTGGGTGTGGTGACGCATGCGGGCGGCAGCACTGGGGCCTTCGGCGGAGCTCCCTATGGGGCCACGAAACGTGTGGGGGTGTGCCGAATTGGGTGTGGGTGACGCATGCGGGCGGCAGCACTGGGGCCTTCGGCGGAGCTCCCTATGGGGCCACGAAACGTGTGAGGGGTGTGCCGAATTGGGTGTGGGTGACGCATGCGGGCGGCAGCACTGGGGCCTTCGGCGGAGCTCCCTATGGGGCCACGAAACGTGTGAGGGGTGTGCCGAATTGGGTGTGGGTGACGCATGCGGGCGGCAGCACTGGGGCCTTCGGCGGAGCTCCCTATGGGGCCACGAAACGTGTGAGGGGTGTGCCGAATTGGGTGTGGGTGACGCATGCGGGCGGCAGCACTGGGGCCTTCGGCGGAGCTCCTATGGGGCCACGAAACGTGTGAGGGGTGTGCCGAATTGGATGTGGGTGACGCATGCGGGCGGCAGCACTGGGGCCTTCGGCGGAGCTCCTATGGGGCCACGAAACGTGTGAGGGGTGTGCCGAATTGGGTGTGGGTGACGCTTGCGGGCGGCAGCACTGGGGCCTTCGGCGGAGCTCCTATGGGGCCACGAAACGTGTGAGGGGTGTGCCGAATTGGGTGTGGGTGACGCATGCGGGCGGCAGCATTGGGGCCTTCGGCGGAGCTCCTACGGGGCCACGAAACGTGTGAGGGGTGTGCCGAATTGGGTGTGGGTGACGAAACGCTGTACTGGGTGGGTGAAACGCATGGAAGAGGGGGAGGAGGGAGGAGGAGGGAACGCGGGGCACCGTCTCTTCAAAACGAGGACCCAACACCACAGGATGGTTGAGAAAAACTGTGGATGCCTGGGAACTGTGGACGCGCACAGACTGCGGAAGCATTGGCCCGGCTGGCCGACCTGCTCCGTCCCAGATGGGGACGGATGTGCCGCCTCTCTCGGAGCTCGCGGCACCCACCCCCACCCAGAGGGGGTACGCTCCGAGAGCCAAATGACCCTGCCTCGGTCCAGGAGGACAAGCAGAATGCTGAAGGAGGTATGTATTTCGCTGTGAGAGAATGCTGCCCTCATGCATTCGAGAGCGCTTGCCTTCGAAAAAGAACGGGGTCCCTAGGATTCTTCGCCTGTGTCGGGTCTCCGCAAGGTCCTCCACGGGCACTGGGGCCGTCAGCAAGCAACTCGGGACGAAGAGCTGGTCCTCGGAGAGACCCCGCCAGGGGTCTAGGACGGGACGCATAAGGGCATGCCAACACTACGTTTCTAGAGGGCAGAACATCCACCCCCATCATAGCTGCCCCGACAAGCGAGGCCTTTTGGTAAACACACCCAAAAAAGGAATCGAACAGGGCAGGTCTATTTAGCAGGTCTGTTTAGTAGACGCCCAGGGCCGTTTAGTAAGCGGCAATTTTCGGGTCCGGGTGGTTTTTCCTCCCTTGAGTTTCTCTTGGAGGCGCCCGTCCGAACCGAAGCTGTCACACAAACGCCCTGTGGTGCATCGCTTTCCCGAGCGAGATATCCAGAAAACACCCGCCACCGAGCAGATACTACGATGAGGTTCCTCGGCGCGCGCGTCGCCCCGTCTCAGAGGAAACGCAGACACACACACACACACACACACACACACACACACACACACACACTTGTTGGTCGGCGGGGCCCGACGGCGAGCGGGCCCCCCCCCCCCCTTCTCTACGCGCTGCTTATATGCGGCAAAAGCTTGGGGGAGTGCCGCAAGGGAAGAGCCGAGCCAGGATCGCGCCGAGGGGGGAAAGGGCCAGGCCGCCCCGCCCCCCAGCGCGACCCTGCGAAGCAGGCGCTGGCCTGCGCGACGCGAGGGTCGCCCGTTCATTGCGCCGCACACAGCGCGATTCGATCGCGCTGTCACCCCTGCGCGGTGGCAATCCCTGTGATGCTCACCGAGAGGAGAGGTGCGGGTGGGTGGGCAGAATAACACGCGCTTTCGCCGCGCTCGCAAAGCGCACGTTCCGCGGGGGAGGGGGGCCGCGGTCGGCGCGCGCTCTCTTCGGGGAAACGCCGAGCGCACGCGGTTCCCCCCGCTCCGCCGTCAGCCCCCTATGCCCTTGCCCGACCTAACCCAAAGCCGGGGCAGAAGCGAGAGAGCGAACCTCTTCCGCTAAAAGCTAGGCGGGCTACGCGCAGCTTTCATTAGGGAGACAGGGCGCAGGACAGACACACACACACACAGTATCAGCATGCTTGGGTAACGCCGATAGAATTGGGTCCGGCATGTCCTCCTACAGGCGGATCTTGGTAGACAAATGCAAGAAAAATGTCGAACGATACGCAAAACTGTAGCCAAAAAACGAGCAATTGTCCCCAGGCGATCTTTCACTGTTGTTAACCCGACTTAACGATGGAACCCTCAGGACCCGTTTCCGTCAGGAGCCTGTTTTTGTATCATCCGCGATAACGGGCGTGATCGGGGACGGGGGGGGGGTGACCCCCCCCGATCACATCACGGCGGGTTTCGGCCTCCCCGGTGCCTTTTTCGAGCCCCCGGGCCCTCGGGAGGAGGAAGAAATGAGCGTGACGTGATCGGGGGGGGGGGGAAACAGCGTGACGTGATCGGGAGGAAGGGGGGGGGGGGCGGGGGCCATCACGAGCGCTATCGCCCAAACTAAAAAAAAAAAAAAAAAAAAAAACAGGCTCCAGGACCCCGTCCGGTGGGGAGGCCTCGGGGCCGGGCAGGGCCTCGCTCCTCGCCCGAGCGACGGAGGCGCCAGGAGGCTCGACCGCGCGGGCGACCACGCGCAAGCGGCCCGCGCAGGGACGCGCGTCGCGCGTGGGCGTGCTGCGCCAGCGCGCCTGGGGCAGCCACCGCGTGAGGCCGCTGCGGCCTCCTGCGTAAGACTTCCTTCTCGCTTGTCTTGGCGGCGAGCGACGGGGGGGGAAGTGAGAAGGAGAAGGCCTTCTCAGAAGGCGGCGCGGCTTCTCTGAAGCCCTTGCGCCTTCTGGGAAGTCTTCTGTGTCTTCGGGGAAGGCTTAGAAAACCTCTCAGAAGGCCAGGGGACTTCTGAGCCTTCTGAGAAGGAACGCCCCTTCTCACTTTCCCCCCTCGCTCGCCGCCGATTGTCGCCCATTAAACCCGCAGAAGGCACCTGTACGTCACCACCACCACCACCACCACCACCTCTGGCCAGAGCCATCCTGAGCCCCCGGACGGCGTGCGAATCTCCTGCAACACCATCCCAGGGCCCAGCTTAGTCCTGGTGAGAGAGAAATGGTGGTGTATGGCTGCCTTCTGCTCTGCGATTTCTTCATGTGGGTACGACGCCAATATCAGAGTATTTGCAGCAGAAGTCAGAACAACATCTGCCTTTTCTCTGAGGCGCAGCTCTAGGCCACCAAAAGAACTCACCCGAAAGGCACTGGGTTTAGGACGTCTTCGGTCTTTCGAATTTTAAACTCTGCTTGGCATGCTCCCACTCTGTCGTAACGTGATGAAGGCCCTCACCCCTTTCATGAGCCTCCAGAAGCTTCCTGAGACCCCTGGGGGCCCCTGGAGGCTGCAAACGACGACCACAACGGCGATGGCGCCGGACGCCTGCGATGGCGCCGGACGCCTGCGATGGCGCCGGCGACGGCGATGGCGACGGCGACGTTGACGACGACGGCGACGGCGACGGCGACGGCGAGGGCGACGGCGACGGCGAGGGCGACGGTAACGGCGACGGCGAGGGCAGCGGCGACGGCGACGGCGAGGGCGAGGGCGAGGGCGACGGCGACGGCGACAAGGGCGACGGCGACGGCGACGGCGGCGGCGCCGGCGACGGCGACACGACGGCGACGGCGCCAGCGACGGCGAGGGCAATGGCGACGGCGACAGCGGTGGCGGCGGCGAGTCACGGCGACCGCGCGGGAGGACGGGGGCAAGGGCGCGGCAACGCCTCGGCAGAAGGAGCGCCCTGGCCTAGGGCGCCCCCAGGCCCTCCGTGGACAGGCCGGGTGGCCTTGGGCAAGGGCCACCTCCAGCGTCGGCTACGCGCAAGAGTGGCCCCAGGCAGGAGTGGCCTCTGAGGAGCGGCATGGAGATCGCTGCGTACAGCGCAGCAGTAAGAGGACCTGCGCGCTCGGGTTTAGCCCCGGCCCCTCCTGCCCCACCCCCCCCGCGCCCCCCGAAAACCGCGCGCCAGAGCTCGTCTGGCTTTCGGGCCATGACTCGGGTCCCTGGCGGCCGTTCGGAACCATTCGGGCACCCCGGGGCCGCTCTCGGCGGTGCGCAGCTGCCAGAGCGCATCCCGAAATCGTAGGCCGCCGAAAACTGAAGCCAGCAAGCAGGTCCGAGAACAAGCGTTTGATCCGCAAGCCCGTCGGGCGCGCGGGTCGGTCGAAAGGCTGAGGGGCGCTGAGCGGCGAATTGAGCCTGGCAAGAGGCGGGAGAAAAAGGGGGGGCAGGGCGGCCGCGGAGGGGAGGAGTGAGCGGGTGGGGTCTGGGTCAGCAGGCTGCGGCGAAGAGGTCCGAGAGCAGACGAGACCACTCGAACGCCATCCGACTGAAGAGGAAGAAAGCGGGGACCATGGCCAAGACTGCACGCGGAAATGTCGTGTCGATCTTGGTTACTGTCCATCTTCGCAAGTGTCAATATGTGGATCATCCTCGCGAGTCGGCGACGGCCGACGTGGACCAGGACAAGGATCGGCATCGACGAGACTCCGCGACATCTCGGCCCTGGTCCCCGTGCCTCCTCCCTCGAGCGAGGGCTATCGCCAGGAACGCCCGACCCCCGGCCAGCCTTCGGAGGAACCGCGAGCGCCAGCGCCGGCCGGCCCACCGTCGCCCGCGCCCTCGCCGTCCTCGCCCTCGCCCGGCGCTGCCGCTGGCGGCTCCGCCGGCGCAGCGCTGTCCTCCGCGTCGCGCCGCCGCTGCCGCCGGGTCGCTGCCGCCGTCGCCGCCGCCGCCGCTGCCGCCGACGCAGTCGTCGTCGCCGTCGTCGTCGCCGTCGTCGCTGCAGCCGTCGCCGTCGCCGTCGCCGTCGCCGTCACCACCGTCGCCGTCACGCCGCCCTGGCAGAGAACGGAAGACAGGAGGAGCGGGAGATGCCAGAAAGCATCAGGAGTTCCTCAACCTCTCGGATAATGCTGGCCGTCCGGGGCTCTTCTGGGGGCCTTCCTGTAGCCTTTGGGGGCCCGCTTCAGGCCACTTGGAGCCTCTGGGGCCCGCTTGGCTCTCTTCAGAGTCGTTCGCTCTCACGAGTCCTATCGGCCGACACGTGGGCCCCCCCGCTGCCTCTCGAAATCCCAGGGGGAAAGGCCAGCCAGGACAGGCCCCAGCCAGAGGGGGTCGAGATCCCTGGCGCCGACAAGCCGACAAGGGGGGTGGGCGAACGAACGAAGAAACGAACGACCCCTGCCGCGAACAAGCGTCCGGGAGCCGAGGGGCACGCCAGCAGACCCCTGGAGAGACATCCCGGAAGCCTCGGCCCCCGCCGAGTCCCAGCCCCGACGGACTCCGTCCCTCCATCCCCGGCCAGGAGCGAGGCAGGAGAGGCACCTCAGGGACTCCCCGCAGGGCGGGGGGGGGGCCAGGCAGGGAGCTCCTCCCCTGGGCTCGTGCGGCCCCTCCTGCGCTGCCTTGTCGACGCACGGCGCAGGTTCGAGATGATGGTGCTGATGCTGCTGCTGCTGCTGCTGATGCTGATGCTGATGATGCTGCTGCTGATGCTGCTGCTGATGCTGATGCTGCTGCTGATGCTGATGCTGATGGTGATGCTGATGCTGATGCTGCTGCTGATGCTGATGCTGATGCTGATGCTGATGCTGCTGCTGATGATTATGATGATGCTGGTGATGATGGTGATGATGATGATGGTGATGATGATGATGATGATGGTGATGATGATGGTGGTGATGGTGATGGTGAGGGTGCTGGTGATGGTGCTGATGATGGTGATGATGATGATGGTGATGGTGATGGTGATGGTGCCGATGACGAGGACGATGACGATGACGACCATGATTATGATGATGATGCTGATGATGATGATAATGGTGATGGTGATGGTGATGGTGGTGGTGATGGTAGTGATGGCGGTGATGGTGGTGATGGTGGTAATGATGATGATGATGATGATGATGATGATGATGATGATGATGATGATGATGATGATGATGATGATGATGATGATGATGTTGATGGTGATGGGAATGATGGTGGTGATGGTGGTGACGATGATGATGGTGGTGAAGATGCTGATGATGGTGGTGGTGGTTGTGGTAATGGTGGTGGTGGTAGTGGTGATGATGATGATGCAGAGGAGGAGGAGGAGGAGGAGGAGGGAGGAGGAGGAGGGGGGGGAGGAGAAGTAAGAGGAGAAGAAAGAGGAGGAGGAGGAGGAGGAAGTCCTTGGTGTCGGAGGGGGGGGACTGTGGAGGGTTTGCTGCCTGGTGCCTGGGTACACGATGTCCTTGTCTCATAGACTATCTACCCGATCCTGTTCTCTCAACTACAGCCATCGTACCACCACGAGGAGCGACACAGATGGAACAAAGAGGCTTTCTGGCCACGGCGAGCCTCGGCCATGAATACGCCACCCTACCTAGATCGGAGGAACGGCCCGAAAACCCAAGCTCCAGTTCTGAACCCTGAATAGTCTGCCGTAGCCGTCCACCCCCCATCTCCCCCCTCACCTGACCCGCAAAATCAGCCAATACTCCCTCGGAGGAATAGGTCGCACACGCCGTTGTCCCAAGAGGTCGACGGACTCGTCGGGAAGACCGGCACATGGTGCAAGTTTTGGGGGGGGGGGTTTAGGGTGCTGCAGGTTGGGATACGGACCAGGGCAGGGCGAACATTTGCTGCAGAAGGTTCACGACTCTCATTGAGTCCCACGAAACTGCACTGATAGGACCAGAAAAGAAACGACACCATCCCACCTACATCCTCACGGGGCTTAGCGTACACCAGGAAATCTGGCGTGGGTTTTGCGTGGTATGCGCTACGGCCCCCGATGGGCCGTAGCGCAACATGGAGGATCGTAGGTGGGGTGGTGTCGCTTGCTTTTTGGTCGACTGATGTCATGGAAGATGTTGGCATCCATATCCCGCGTCTACCGTTTGCAATTCATTTGTCCAGAAGAGGGCGGTAGGGCGGTATCGTGCACGATCTGGGCACTATGCTGGCACAATGAAGAATCAAGACAACCGGAGGAAACCATGATGCTTCGGAATTTGCCTGAAGATGTGCTGTTTTACACGCCACACTCGGAGACCGTTAGAAGCACGTTCACGATGTTGTACAGCATATTGTTGCACGCGTGTACAGTCGTGACTGTTTACCCTAAGTGTCCGAGGATAGCATGCACGTGCCTGCTAAAGCTCAGCTCGTCACCAAAAATACGAAGAAGGTCAGCGAAACTGAAGAACAAACCTGAGGAAGTTCTCCGTGTGCCGAAGCCTTACCCCGCTTGGTGGAACCGCAGATTGTGCAAACCTGCATGGATGACGCTGGGCGCTCTGTTCAGGACTCGTATGCTCTCAGATCCTGGCCCCGGCCTCGCCCCGTGCCCTGGCCTCGGCCAAGGCCCCAGCGCAGGCCCTGACCTCAGCCCTGGCACCCAACAGAGCCCAAGAGGCTGCAAAGAGAGCCCCACGAAGGACTCCAGGGCGTCAGCGACGTCGACCTCGCCGCCGCCGCCGCCGTCGTCGTCGCCGTCCCCCTTCAGGGTCGGCGGCATCGGCCGTAAGGCCTTCCCAATCGCATGATCTCAGGTACGTTGAAATCAAAGCTATCGACAATCAACAAAAAAGGATTTGTATTGACCCCTGGCCTGCGGACTCGCACCCGTTACATTGCACGCAGAAAAGGCATGCGTTAAGTTTGGCACGTTCGATCACCACCAAAACGTGTCAGCTCAGAACCCGGGCGAAGGAACTGCTCTAGATAGCTTGGGTGAAGGATCTTCCGAAGTTTGCCAAAAACTCTCCAGCTTGTCAATCATAATGGACAGGCAAATCTCAGAAGCGCGCTCGTTGAAAGCACGACAGTGTGGACTACTAGTCACGCTGGTCGTTACACTGCCACCTGTATTCAGGTTTCTAGTGTTGCGCAGCGTAAGGGTGAATTTCCCATCTCGGATAGTTGATTGAAGGTCCTGGGGGCCAAAGTGGAAACGAAATCTCCGAATATTCCGACATGTAGCGGGCGTCCCCACCTAGCAAAGGGAAGGTGTTCGCGTGCGGTCCCGCTTACAGTGCTGCAGCGAAGACGCTATTTAGCTCTGTTTTCGCCCGAAGCAGCGTTACATCTGCACAAGCGCGTGACGCTTCGGGGCGAGAACACAACTTTGCTTGCTGGCCGGGCGGCGGCGACGGGAACCGCTGTCGCGCGAAATCTGCACCGAGTCTGGGCGAGGGCGACCAGTCGCCCGCTCGCACACGGGCCCCCCCCATCGACGTGGCGAGCGGCAAATACGAACCGCGCCCCGCCAGGAGCGCCACTTTCAGGCAAAACCTGCGCGACGCCAAGGCGAGAGCGACATTCCGCCCTCCCGCGCGCGCGACCCTGCCGTCGACGAAGTGACGAGCGAGAGGGCGCGCCGCGCCCAATCGGGTGCTGACCTGTCAAGGAATCTGAGCATGGCCCCGGAGCGAGAGCGGTACTCTGCCACTTCGCGCGTGATGTGCCCCACGTCCCACTCCTGCTGCGCATTTTGCATCGACGATACCGAAACGTCAATGCGGTGAGGGGAACGTCGGTCTCGTGTTTTTTGATCGGTAGGATGAGGTCGGGCATGTCCCCCATACATGCGGATTTTACACGAAATTTTTAATAAAAAAAATACCCCAAAAATACCGAAGCAAAATAAAATTAGCCTGACGAAGGACCCAACCATGTGCAGGTGTGAATACCGCAGTTGACACTACCAATTTCGGTGGGGCTCCCTATAGAGCCAAGAAACGTGTGAAGGGGATGGGTGTGCGGGACGCATGCGGGCGGCAGCACTGGGGCCTTCGGTGGAGCTCCCTATGGGGCCACGAAACGTGTGAGGGAGTTGACGAAATGGGCGTGGCTAACGCATGCGGGCGCGGGCACTGGGGCCTTCGGTGGAGCCCCCTATGGGACCACGAAACGTTTGAGGGGTGTGCCGAAATTGGTGTGGCTGACGCATGCGGGCGCGGGCACTGGGGCCTTCGGTGGAGCTCCCTATGGGGCCACGAAACGTGTGAGGGGTGTGCCGAAATGGGTGTGGTTGACGCATGCGGGCGCGGGCACTGGGGCCTTCAGTGGAGCTCCCTATGGGGCCACGAAACGTTTGAGGGATGTGCCGAAATGGGTGTTGCTGACGCATGCGGGCGCGGGCACTGGGGCCTTCGGTGGAGCTCCCTATGGGGCCACGAAACGTGTGAGGGGTGTGCCGAAATGGGTGTGGTTGACGCATGCGGGCGCGGGCACTGGGGCCTTCGGTGGAGCTCCCCATGGGGCCACGAAACGTGTGAGGGGTGTGCCGAAATGGGTGTGGCTGACGCATGCGGGCGCGGGCACTGGGGCCTTCGGTGGAGCTCCCTATGGAGCCACGAAACGTGTGAGGGGTGTGCCGAATGGGTGTGGGTGACGCATGCGGGCGCGGGCACTGGGGCCTTCGGTGGAGCTCCCTATGCAGCCACGAAACGTGTGAAGGTGTGCCGAAATGGGTGTGGGGACGCATGCGGGCGCGGGCACTGGAGCCTTCGGTGGAGCTCCCTATGGAGCCACGAAACAGCTACGTGAGGGGTGTGCCGAAATAGGTTGTCGGCTGACGCCTGCCGGGCGCAGGCCACTGGGGCCTTTCGAGTTGGAGCTCCCTCTTATGGGTTTGTTGATTTGAAACGTGTGAAGGGGTGTCTTTTTGTGCCGAAAAATGGGTGTG